TGAAGTTGAGTTGTGACCTTGGGAATGTTTTGTTGCTTTGATCTCCTGGTAAGGCTACCAGTGTCTTTATCGAAGAAGAGTAGGACACATTAAACAGTGTCTGTAGATGGTATGATCACAGGAGACAATCCTCAATGGTTAAGGATTAAGTAGTTTTGGAGCTTTGTTATCTGACATCTTAACCACAACGCTACATATGGAAAGTGTCAAAGTGTTACAAACTGTTGATAATAATGAACTTGAAAGCCAGTCAGACAGTAATCTAAAACAGACACTGTTTCCTTGTTTTATCGATGATATGAATCACAACGAAGGTTGCAAATTCAACTTTAAGATCTAGCACTTTTCATGGCTTTTCTGTTTCCAGTTCAAATTCATATTGACTATTTACAAAACTGAAGTGAATCACAACAAAAATAGGTGAACTGTTACACTGTAGTTTTAAATAATGGAATTTCTATAAAGTTTTGAAAAATGATAAGCCATTCTATCTTCAGTCTTTGAGTTGATGAACTTCACAGATTTGACCAGTGTCCTTTTGTCTCCCGTTTATTTTATGTATATCTTGTTCAGACCTCAGGAATATACAATGCCCTGAGCCCATTACTAGACTGTAATGACACACTTTTAAATAATAAATAGACAGGATACTGTTCCACGCATTATTGATTCTCACACTTGCAGTTAAACGGAGACAATGGTTGATTGAGTTTTGTGTCATCAGCTTGAACTACCTACCTGCATAGCCATGTTTATTTTTGGAATATTAAATATTTTCGTTCCTTGTTCATACAAATTGTGTCAATACTTCGCATGGCTATATGAACCAGTCTAGCAGCCTTGGGTATCATATTTGAGTGGCTCAGTTTGAAGTGTAATTTCCCACTTTGAGACTGTTGTTGTGACAGGAAGTGTATACTATGTGTGTATTGATCGTGTTTGGATGGGGAGCACCATTTCACAAACTGTTTCAATAATGTTGTAAACCCTCAAACACATTACACTGGTACATGTAGTAGTGTAGTAATGACAGTTGTCATAGCAATGGTGGTGAACACCGTTTCCAATGACTACCCAGGGGAACTTACTGAGGAGAAGACACTATCAATTATGTATATGGTTTGAAAAAAACCACAGCCATATAAGTATTTGTGGTTTTCAAAGCTTACCTCAGGTGGAACTAAGGTATTACAGATACATTAACAACATAGCATTTCTTTCAGTTAAAGCCCAAAAACCTGGAACAGTTTATTCCAATTGCACACTTGAGAATTGTTTTTAACTGTTTGGTATCCTCCTCTCTCCCAATCTATTTGTTACTCACTAATTTATATCAAACTCTTAGGCGAGTCCTCCACCTAAAAAGACTGATTCGCCTTTGTTTCAAACAAACAACTAATGTTTTATTTCAAACAAATAACTAATGTATTATTTCAAACACTTAACTAAAGTCTTATTTCAAACACTTCACTTATTATTTCAAACACCAAACACCAAAGTGAACCTTGTCTTTATTTCAAACACCTAAATGACTCTTGTCTAGATCAGCATTATCTCTGTTTCAAACGCAATTTAGTGATCCTAATGTCTTGTTTCAAACACTAAGATGAGCCTTGTATTCATTCCTTATACCTAGTTGACCTTTACCTGTGTTTCTAGCACAGAAGTGGTCATTGTTATTTCAAGCTCCTAAGTGACCTTCATCTTTATTTCAAACACTTAGGTGAACCATGTTTATGGAAATATTTGATGCCTGCATTTATTCAAATTCCTGAGAACCATTTTCTTTCTACACTTTTTCTACTGTCACTACATGCAGAATAATGAAACTTCTCTCTTTTTAACTTGAACTAAAATAGCCTAACAGAAATGTATGTTGTATAGACATGTGGTATAGACGTTTTGTCAGTCCCAGTGAGGTTCAGACTAGCTTGTAGGCCTAATCATTGTGGAGTGGTTTTCGTAACGACACTGTAGCTGATCATTGGGAAATGTGGATGTATCGTGCTGAAAGAACCTTGATATGCAAAAAGTAAATAAATTGTAGACAACTGCCTTGATCACTGTTTTTGCTGAATTGCAAATAAAAGCTTGTGTTTAAGCCATCTGCAAATTCAAATTGACCAGACTTCACCATGATCAGTTATGTTTTGAATATTTAAAAAAAAAGGTTAATCATTTAATATATCTATGCTATATTCATATCCAGTGTACGACTTCTGAATGTTGAAGATGTATTTTTTCTTTACATGTATTAAGACACGGAGTAATATCACTGTTATCTGGCACAGAATATAACATTCTGTGATATCCATTGTCAACTCTTTTTTTAACCACCGCCTCTTCTTTTGAACTATGAGGCTTAGAGTCATTATAGCTCACTTGTTACAATGAGTTATCTTGATTCATTTTGGAGGTCAAAAGGGTCAAATGAATTAAAAGTGAAAACAAAAGCAGAAAATAGTTCAGGCTTACATGTTTTGTTTATCATGTAACTATGGAAATTAAAACCAACTACCATAATTAGTATGTTTTTTTGCTGGTTAAAATTTTGCTACTACATACATGTATAAATAAGTACACTGATTCCTACAAGTGATTTTGATAATTTGTTGGCTTTGAGTCTTAAGTTATGATTACACGAACAACAGAATGTTAACAATGTTCTGACAGTACACAAGATGGAGAACATCATATCCATGCATGATAGTATTGGCTGGGACAAAGCTATGTTACCAAAACATGTCCTCAGATCCTGTACCACTCCCTGAAACACGACGTCCACTGATATGGAGTGTGGAACCTTTACCACTCCCTGAAACACGCATCCACTGATATGGAGGGTGGAACCTGTACCACTCCCTGAAACACAACATCCACTGATATGGAATGTGGAACCAGTAGAACTCCCTGAAACACGACATCCACTGATATGGAGAGTGAAACCTGTACAGCTCCCTGAAACACGACATCGACTGATATGGAGTGTGGAACCTGTACAAATCCCTGAAACACGACATCCACTGATATGGAGAGTGAAACCTGTACAGCTCCCTGAAACACGACATACACTGATATGGAGTGTGGAACCTGTACCACTACCTGAAACACAACATCCACTGATATGGAATGTGGAACCAGTAGAACTCCCTGAAACACGACATCCACTGATATGGAGGGTGGAACCTGTACAACTCCCTGAAACACAACATCCACTGATATGGAATGTGGAACCAGTAGAACTCCCTGAAACACGACATCCACTGATATGGAGTGGAGTGTGGAACCTGTACCACTCCCTGCAACACAACATCCACTGATATGGAGTGTGGCACCTGTACCACTCCCTGAAACACGCATCCACTGATATGGAGGGTGGAACCTGTACAACCCCCTGAAACACGACATCCAATGATATGGAGTGTGGAACCAGTGGAACTCCCCGAAACACGACATCCACTGATATGGAGAGTGAAACCTGTACAGCTCCCTGAAACACGACATCCCCTGATATGGAGTGTGGAACCTGAACAACTCCCTGAAACACGACATCCACTGGTATGGAGTGTGGAACCTGTACAACTCCCTTAAACACAACATCCACTGATATGGAGGGTGGAACCTGTACCACTCCCTGAAACAGAACATCCACTGATATGGAGTGTGGAACCAGTACAACTCCCTGAAACACGACATCCACTGGTATGGAGTGTGGAACCTGTACAACTCACTGAAACACGACATCCACTGATATGGAGTATGGAACCAGTGGAACTCCCTGAAACACAACATCCACTGATATGGAGTGTGGCACCTGTACCACTCCCTGAAACACGACGTCCACTGATATGGAGTGTGGAACCTTTACCACTCCCTGAAACACGCATCCACTGATATGGAGGGTGGAACCTGTACAACTCCCTGAAACACGACATCCACTGATATGGAGGGTGGAACCTGTACCACTCCCTGAAACAGAACATCCACTGATATGGAGTGTGGAACCTTTACCACTCCCTGAAACACGCATCCACTGATATGGAGGGTGGAACCTGTACCACTCCCTGAAACACAACATCCACTGATATGGAGTGTGGAACCTGTACAACCCCCTGAAACACGACATCCACTGATATGGAGTGTGGAACCAGTGGAACTGATGCAACTGTTACCACAGTTATGAGAAGCTGAAGTTCTGTTATCAATTTCTCGATCTGCTCTTTAAAATATTCATGAGGACAGTTTCCCTGCAGTTTAAATATTTAATTATAGCTTGCTCTCACCCTGATGTGGCTGACATACTGTCATGACTACAGTAATCATCCAACTTCCATTACATACTTGTCATGTAAATGTCTTCGTCTGATCATCGGCACTTTGATTGGGTGTATATATTACCTTCATTCTGACAAGACAACATCCAATCATGAGACATACAATTGTCATTATATCACAGCTTTCTTTGTTAGTACAGATGAGTTTTGGGATCTTTTGGTTAAATGCTACTGTTTAACTCATTCACCCCTGAAGACACATTGGAACTCTTCAAAAGTTCAGGGGTGAATGAGTTAATTGTGTTATAGCTATTTATTGAATGACATGAGATTTTGTTTACAACACAATCAAAGGTTTGAATGAAGTTTGAATTCTAACATAATTTTGTGATATACCAGGTTATGCCATTATGGTAATTTTGATGGGGAATTATGAATACAAGATTTCAAGTTACACAAAAAAGCAATTGCATGATAGAATGTCTAATTTGATATCTTTTCTCCTATTGAACCCAGAGGGAGTAGGAGGGGTGGACTCATTATACAAAGTAAACTACAATTTTCATTGTGTTGAAATCTATATTACTTGGTTAACTAAAACAGTATCACTTTGGATTGTAACACCTGATTGACTGATGTATTGACTAGGATTGACCATGTTCCTGTGGTTGTACTTATCATGTATTATATGGAGGATGAAACATGATATTTTTTCATATATTTTAGGTGCAGAATCTGATCCCGGTGCTGAGACAGGATACAAGCTGAATGGTGCTACAGTCAGAAACGGATCTGTTCACAAAGACAAGGCTCCACAGGATGCTGAACGTATTGAGTATCCAAAAGACTCTGACAAACGTAAGCTCACACAACTGTTTGATGCATTTAAGGTGCAGAAAAAGACGGACAGTCCTGAGAGGAGGCTTCAGCAGCAGACGTCAGTGCGTAGGGCAACCTCGCGCAGATATGGCACAGATAGCGAATCGTCAAGTTCCTCGTCAGATGAGGATGTGTCATCATCTCTTCCTTCTTCAATGTTAACAACAGTCTCTGTGCAGAGTTCTCCGGCGTCCTCTAGGGTGTCTGGGAATAACACATCAGAATACGAGGAGATACATGTTAGTGATTCTGTGCTCCATAAAACTTCAGAGAGTGTGAACAGTAGTCCTCGGAAATCCTTACAAAGAAAACATTCATATGATTCAGATCAGACAATACATTCAGATGATGCACCATTTTCAAAAAGTAGTACAGAAACTCAAATAAGAGTTGAGGTCCATTCAGACGCCTCCTCAACACAAAGTGCAGACATTTGTCGACCGAAAACATCTCCATCAAAAAGTGCATCATCCAATTCTCAAAATAGCTATAGCAAGGTACGACAATCAAGCAAAGATGGCTATACAGGTGTAAAAGTCACAAGAAAGGAGAGCTCTTCTTCACAGCGTTCAACATCACCAGAGATGGGAAGCATGCGACATGTGCAAGTTTCCCGACAATCTGTTCTTCAACCTGGGAGGTCACCATCTCCTTATTCTTTTGATAGTATTCCGTCTTCCCATGCCAATTCCCCGTTACCCAGACAACGGATTTTGGATCAAACTTTGGATTATCCACTTCAAAAATATTCTTCAGAGGATACAGACTCATTGTCAAGGTTTAGTGGCACAGAGTACAGTGGTACAGAATCATCCTCTCACATTCGAGAGGGCAGTAGTGGGGGAGACGATTTCATGATGGATGACATCTCAAAAGTTAAATTTCATAAGTTGTCAAAGAAAATGGAAAGTTCAAGATCCAGGTCACCACATTCACCAAACACAAGTAAGTAGACGTTTAAAAAACTTTCTTATTTACATGATACAGGGTTTAAACACAGTAATCTCATTATTAATCTGGCTTGGCATTTTATTTGTAATCTGGAAACATCTAGAACCTTCTAATATGGCTGGGATAGCTCACTGGTGTATTGTTTGCAAATAGTATTTTATATGTGTCCATTATCTCTGGTCCATACTGTTGCTGGAAGGTTTGTTAATCCAAATTGTTGTACAAATTCAAGTTCATTGGCAATCATCTAATTAACTTATTTACCCCTGAAGACACATTTGGACTCTTCCAATTCAAAGGTAGGAATAGTTCATTATGAAATTCCAGGGGTGAATGAGTTAAGAAAAAAATAAACAGGGAGAACAAAACAGGGAACTCAAGGTCTATCTTACGTTCTATATTAGTGGAAAGTTATGACAATTCACTAGGAATAATCCATTTTGTATAAAGTTGCTGTTGAGACCAAAACAATGTGAGATAAAAGTGGGTAGTGATGATTGAAGTTACATTACAGCAGTGGTAATGGTGGATCCATGTCTGATGGCAAATTACTGCAGAATTTAATGGAAATAAAATGTACTTGTCAAGTTTTCATTTTTAAAGCACATAAAAATTTTGCTGATGAACTGTTTTATTACCTTTATTTTATCCATATCTGAGGTAAGATCGTTTTATGAACAAAATGAAATAATCAAAATACATCTTACATGAAGTGTCAAGGTCACATTATATCACTATGAGATTGTGTTTGTCGATAAGTCATGAAATCACAATCAGCTGATGGAGTAAAAATAGGTTTGGCTATTTAAGGTTTGCTGTAGGCTTTTCTTGTTTCTGAGACACTGAGTCATTCAGTCAAGAGTTCTGATAGCTGCTGTGTAGATCCCTCTAACGTTGACTGTATAACATTTCCAAATTTTACAACAGTTAATATTTAACAGAATATCATGTTTTTTCCTTGTTATAAATTGCTGCAGAGTCAATAATATGATTTTTTTAATTAAAAAAGCAGTTTTATTTTCCAACAAGACTTGCTGAATTGTATTTGCCTGATGTTGTGTGGCTGAGTTTTACCTCTTTGAACCTTCACTGTACCTGTAACGTGTTAACATTCTCATTATAACTAATTTTATTGTCTTGTCCGACGTAATTATTGTTTGTGAGTTCAACTAATTTTCACATCTTATTATTGTAATTTTAAAGTGTTGTAGTTTGTGATTTTTGTTTTGATTTATTTGATATTAATTTTCTGAACACAAAATCACATATGGTTAGCTTAGCCCACTTGAGCTCTTGTTCTAAACCTCAGAAAGCCTCAGCCACTGAACCCAAAGCCTGCTATTTCTGTTCTACATTAGCACTGCCAGCTGTGGTGTAAACTAGCTATACCTAGTAACTGACCCATCTCCGTCACCTGTTGACAAATTGCTAAACTTGAGATCATTTTTATAAGGCAGGTGATCTTCCTTTCCTGATGAAAATCTTCTGCTTCTGGAATGCAAATTTCCAGGTTAATGAGCACAATGACTTTTGTGAAAATCAGTCCCCATGAATACATATATGTATATATTGTTGTCTGCATCAACATAGCCAGGATTGTTTGACTCTATAGAAAATCTTGGTAACTTTTTAGGAAACAAATGGTTATCAAAGCAGTATTTTATTTATTATTTTGTAAAAATTTCAAAAAAATGAATAAAGAATCAAGGAAATAATTCAAACATATTTCAAAAAATATTCTCAAACTAAAATGTGTCATCTTTTCATCCCGTCTTTTCCACAGTAAAGACTTGACTGACTGTTGGCACCCCTTCCCCCCTATATATCCATATATATCCCATTATAACACCTCAAGAAATGTGGTCAGTACAAAAGATTAACAAATGACACCAATTGGTCTGTGAACTGGCCCTATGTATTCCAGGGAAACTTGTATAGTGGGTGCGCTATGCTACCTTAACTGCCAGATTTAGAGCTGTGAAACGCTTTAAAACCTTTTTTGCAGACTATGCGTCTGTAGACGGTAATTCATTTATTTGTCTATTGAACAAGCAAACAGGATTTATAATGATAAACTTGGTATTTTTGTTACCAGTAGTAAAGGCCTGCATGCTCTTAGTCTATAAGTATTATATGTGTGTTGCTAAGACAACCTCCAAACGTGTGTTTTAATGGTGACTTTGGTATATAGTTACCTAGTGCAGCATTTATAGTAGCTCCCCTAGTTTTCTAAATGTGCTCTAGAATTCACTTCTTAACCAGTGTTTTATTTTATACCCCGTCTATTGCTTTGTTTTGATGGTACACGCTTTAATATTCCTCTACAAGCAATTTACAGAGAAATTCCTTTATGGTATTGACCTTAATACACATCAAAGCATTATCTTAGTGAAATTAGTAAACAAAATTTGCAAGAAACTCATTCGTACATTTAAGTGTTTTTGTTGCACAGCCTCTAAATAAATCTATCAGTTCAAAAAGAACTAATACATGTAAATGAGTCCCTGTTGGAAACTAGTCCTTCTCTCATACAGGTGCTGAGAAAGTAATCAGAGATCAAGTCAGGTCAATGCATCAAATTTAAACTTTAACAAAAATTCACAATTGATGTTTGTTATTACCTGAAAGAAATGGTTACCCTAGAAAATACAACATTGTTCTTGCAAATATGTCTGCTCAACCATTTGGAAAAAATAACTTGTTTGATATATTTAGTTTAATAACCCAAAAGAAACCATCCAGAAGGACAAAAAAGAATGTAAAGAATAAAAACCATATTTTGCATTTATTGGGGTATATTACCAATTGCTTACAAACACCTTCTTCGAGACATGCTATCATATTTTAATTTTAACGGTATAACCTTAGAGTGTATGGATTACTACAGGCTAACTAAATTTCATCACACATCCCCCAACCTCCTTGTAAGTGAAGGCCAATAATACTTAGAAAACTGCTCCATTCAGACTGGTGGTTATGTAATTCAATGAAATGTTCAAGCGTACACTGAATGCCAAGTTTGTTATAAATGTTTCTGAAAGGCACTTGTAATCAGGAAATGAGTCTCTACATCCACATTTATAAAAACTATTTAACCAATAAGCACTCAGCTTATAGAAACATCAATGAATTATGTTCGACGATTGAATCCAGTTACCTTTGATGCAGAATTCTATTTCTACATCATTACTACTAACAGAATTATTCAAATTTCATTTCCTTTTGTTTGTTAGTTAGGAACGGATGTAACAATCATCATTGAAATAAGCTGATTTCCTTCTGTTGTGTGATTCTTTTATTTTTCTCGTTCTGATCAGTCTATTACAGTTGATAACAAAAGAATCCCATTCCAATTATATTTCACATGTATGATTGTCTACATATCCTAAAGCTTAATAATTAGCCAAACAAACCAACAGTTAGTATGATTAATACAACAGTGATAATCTAAAACCATGCTGTAAAAGTCATTGATACATTTGATAACAAGCAACGTTACAACTTCATTAACTAAAACTGTGTTAAGCTTGTTATTGATATTGACTTTTTGTAGAATGTCTCTCATGAGTAATTAGGTACTGATGCAATGATTCAATACAAGCCTCTTATAGATATAATTTTACCACAGTATATTATACTGATGTTTACCACAATGTATTTTACATTATATTGATGTGGATATAGAAACAACAATGGCTGCGTCCACCAATAACCTATTAAATCTTATTAAAAATCATTTATATCATAGAATGTTTATCCTACAATCCAGGATATGAAGACATGATTAGTTTTAATAAAATCAAAATGGAAAATAGGTGATGTAATTTAAATGTTAATCGTTTTTTCCTCCACAAGTTACTGCTTCATTTGCATGTTAATGTTGTGTTTGTTGCCAGGTTCCTCTCTACAGCTTGAAGAAGGGGGGGCTAACTGTGGTAGGGTCGAGGCTGTGGTGGGCCGTGATCAGCTCACACGTTCTGAATCCCAGTCAGTCACAAACGTCCCCCAATCTCTGTCACAGGTAGAGGGAAATGTCCCCCAACCTCTGTCACAGATAGAGGGAAATGTCCCCCAATCTCTGTCACAGGTAGAGGGAAACAACCCTCAATCTCTGTCACAGGTAGAGGGAAACATCCCCCAATCTCTGTTACAGGTAGAGGGAAACATACCCCAATCTCTGTCACAGGTAGAGGGAAACGTACCCCAATCTCTGTCACAGGTAGAGGGAAACGTACCCCAATCTCTGTCACAGGTAGAGGGAAACGTACCCCAATCTCTGTCACAGGTAGAGGGAAACGTACCCCAATCTCTGTCACAGGTAGAGGGAATCATTCAGGCTCAGCAGACCTCCACTCAGTACTCAATGAAGATCTCTGACTGTGAACCCATTGCCCCAGCAAGAAGAAAAGCCAAGATTGTGATCACTGACCCTATTATCCCACCAAGGAAGAAAAATTACACAGAACCGAAACCAGTAGCCCCACCAAGGAAAGAAAAACATTCAGATGACACAGATCTTATTGTCCCACCACCGAGGAAATCAAAGCATGTTAAGGAAGCAGAATTGGCTGTTTCACTAAGGAAATTACAGAATCCTGAGGAAAGTGAACCTGTAACTCCACCGCGGAGATCTAAGGTGACAGTAGGTTTTGAACCTATCTCCCCTCCAAGAAAATCAAAGAATGTTGACTTAGTTTGCCCATCAGGTTACAAGGTTGTCCAGGACCCTGACCCAGTCGCCCCAGTATGGAGGAGAAGTATGAGAAGAAGTCATGAAGATGTTCCTTCCCCTCCATCTTCAGTCCCTTCTTCTCCTGTCAGTTTTTCTGGAGAGGATTCCTCAAGTGAACGAAATTTGTCTATCAAAAATGCCAAGCGTCTCTTTGAAGAGAAAGAAAGGATACAGAGGTTGGGAAAGTCACCAAGAGCATCACCTAGAGGAAACCATGATGCCTTCTTCAATGACAGGATTTGGCAAGAAGAGTCCCTGGGGATGCCATCAACACCTTCCCCAGCCCCAGATGATGACTTTGAGGCATTGTTTAGTAAAGCCATAAGTGACCTTGAAGCGCCAGAGTCTCCACTACCAAAAATACGGTCAAGATCAGGGTCAATGAGGTCAAGGTCAGGCTCAAAATCAAAGAAAAGACCAGTGTCTGGGGAACTTGAATCAGATTCAGAGTCCAGGAAAAGAACATCTACAGGTGAACTTCCAGTGGTAAAGGAGCCTGAGGGCGAAGGGCTGAAATCTACAATGTTACCTGTCATGAAGGAACCAGTAAGTGAAGAAGTAATGGATTCTATACAAGAACAGCAAGTTACTTCATTACCAACTATTAACATAATCCTGGACAATACCGACATGTCACAAAAATGGGATCTTGAGCCAGAGACAGAATCATTGGTTATTGAGAGCAGAGCTGAGGGACCTGACAAGCAGTCCTCACAAGACATTGAGCCCAGTATGACTAGTGACACTTACATAGAAGGCAAGGAAAAGTCATGGGGTCAAAATGAATCTGATGATTCTCCAGTAGAATCACTTGATTTGAAGGTGAAAGCCAAAGGTCATTGGGGTCAAGATCCTGATGATGACAACCAGTACCAGTTTTCTACAGAAGAACAAGAAATAAATGCTGAGAGTGAACAATCTGTGTCCTCCAACTTATGGCATTTTAAGGAAAACTCTACAGAAAATGACTTCAGGGAGGCTTTTGGTTCACCATCAGAAAAAAATGGTCAGTTTCTGGAGGTGAGGACCACTGTGCGGGCAGCCTTGGGAGAGCAGTCCCTGAGTGACACATCCTCAGACATCTTGAGTGTAATTGCTGAGGATAGTGAGCCCAGCGAGACCAGTACTAGAAGCTGGGATTCCGGTGGTAAATGTAGCACTGTCAAGGCTGCGTCAGGAGTTGACAGTGATTGTGATCGTACCATGGAACGTATTCCCGTAGAAATGATTCTTGCAGCTGCTCACAGTCGTATTGAAGATGTGGATACTGAAAAAGAGTCCCCCTATGTAGAGGAATCTATTGGGCAGGTCAAGGGAACGGTAACCTATATAGAGGATAAAGAGGATAATGATGTGGCAGTTGGTTACCATGGTGATGAGAAAATGAAGACAGATATGGTTTACAAAGAACATGAGAAAGCAGTTTGCAGTGAACCTAAGAAAGCAGAAGTTATTCCTGTGGCAGGCACTTTGTTGGCATTAATAAAACTAACGAAGAAACATCAAGATGACGACATGGGGGTGCAGAGACATCTGGAGCCAGAGGTCACCATCAAGGACACACCACAACTCGAGGCAGAGGGTACAGTCAGTAAGAAGGTATTCCGAGAGAAACTTGTCAAACAATGGTTAGAGGCAGAGGTTCACAGTTCAGAAGGTTCAAGTGAATCCAAAATACAAAAATCTCTCAACCAAGTGTCTGATCCACAGTCCTCCCACAACCTGACCCTTGACCCCTACCACACAGGCCAATCAAGCACCCCAGGGACCCACCCACTTGATTCCACCCAGATACCAGTCCTCCCTATTGGCTCTCTGACTGACACAGATTCAGGTATCACCATTGTTTTGATTCTGCTGAAATTTATGATCAGCTAAGTGACAAGTGGTGAGGGGGACCTTCTATCTGCACTCCTTCCCAAGCACACTTATTAACCTCTTTTATCTTTCTTTAATGTGATTTTGTGACTAACATATTGTTATTTAGAATAACTTTAGAAATTCCTTTGGTTATTATACTTTTCTACATGTCTTTCTTTGTGATTTTGTTTTAATCATTCATTCATTATAATCCTGATAAAAGGTAGTTGTAGTATTTTATATATATATGTTTTCTTTTAAATTCATTTGCAAGAAATTTTCATAAATTTTGTAGAACATAATCAATTTGTTATTCAATTTTTGGTAACTTTTTATATTTTAATTAATTTAATTTTCAGATTTAAATTAATTTTGGAAATATTTTTCAGTGTTTTAGCGCAAGTTGTTAACTTGCAAGTGAAACCTATGCTTCTCTCAGTAACACTAACACAAGTAGAGTACACATGTTGGGCTCAGTTCTGCAAAGATGTGTCAGCTTATTGACTATTAACTCTGAAATAAAAAGTTCCTTTCTGAAATTCCTAAATTTTATAACAATTATTTCTTTCCTGTCTTTGATCATTTACTTTTAGTTGCTCCACATTTGGATTTATTTTAATTTCAATTTCAATACTTTGCATTATAATATTGATTAGGTTTTGACCATCTTTGAAAACTAAGGCCCTGGTCTTTTAAAAGCATATTGTGATGCATGCTGGTATAGATTATGATGCATGTTGGTATAAATTGTGATGCATGCTGGTATAGATTATGATGCATGCTGGTATAAATTATGATGCATTCTGGTATAGATTATGATGCATGCTGGTATAAATTATGATGCATGCTGGTATACATTATGCATGCATGTATGGCATATTATGCTTGCAGGGTTGCATTCAGAATCAGAATTTAAAAAGTCAATATTTAAGTCGACTTAAGCCAGGAAATAGGATAGATTTTAAACACTAAAACATTGTGAAGTTTTATCTCTTTAACTCATTTACCCTTACATATCTAAATCCGACTTGCCCAGTCTTTGATTTGTTAAGGTTCATATGTGACTATAGGGGTGAATGGGTTAATAACAAGAGTGTAAGATGATGATGTTTACACCTCATAAGTTACATTTTAATGGTGATGTTTATACCACATGGTTTACATTTTGATGGTGAAGTTAACACCTCATGAGTTACATTGATGATGATGTTTACACCTCATGAGTGACATTTTGATGGTGAGGTTTACACCTCATGATTTACATTGATGATGATGTTATACCTCATGAGTTACAGTTTGATTGTTATGTTTACACCTCATAAGTTACATTTTAATGGTGACGTTTATACCACATGGTTTCCATTTTGATGGTGAAGTTTACACCTCATTAGTTACATTTTGATGGTGGTGTTTAAACCTCACGTGTTACATTGACAGTGATGTTTACACATCATGAGTTACATTGACAGTGATGTTTACACATCATGAGTTACATTGTGATGGTGATGTTTATACCACATGGTTTCCATTTTGATGGTGAAGTTTACTCCTCATGAGTTACATTTTTATGGTGATGTTTATACCTCATGAGTTACAGTTTGATTGTTATGTTTACACCTCATAAGTTACATTTTGATGGTGGTGTTTAAACCTCACGTGTTACATTGACAGTGATGTTTACACATCATGAGTTACATTGTGATGGTGATGTTTAAACCTCATGAGTTACAGTTTGATTGTTATGTTTACACCTCATAAGTTACATTTTGATGGTGGTGTTTAAACCTCACGTGTTACATTGACAGTGATGTTTACACCTCATGAGTTACATTGATGGTGATGTTTATACCACATGGTTTACATTTTGATGGTGAAGTTTACACCTCATGAGTTACATTTTGATGGTGATGTTTACACCTCATGAGTTACATGTTAAAATACAGCCATCAAGTGCACAAGTCATGTTAAGTCTTAAACCATTGATTGTTAAGACTACAGACATCAAGTACACAAGTAATGTAAAGTCTTAAACCATTGATTGTTAAGACTACAGCCATCAAGTACACAAGTCATGTTAAGTCTTAAACCATTGATTGTTAAGACTACATGCAGACATCAAGTACACAAGTAATGTTAAGTCTTAAACCATTGATTGTTAAGACTAAAGCCATCAAGTACACAAGTCATGTAAAGTCTTAAACCATTGATTGCTAAGACTACATGCAGACATCAAGTACACAAGTCATGTTAAGTCTGAAACCATTGATTGTTAAGACTACAGCCATCAAGTACACAAGTCATGTAAAGTCTTAAACCATTGATTGTTAAGACTACAGCCATCAAGTGCACAAGTCATGTTAAGTCTTAAACCATTGATTGTTAAGACTACATGCAGAGATCAAGTACCCAAGTAATGTAAAGTCTTAAACCATTGATTATTAAGACTACAGACATAAAGTACAAAAGTAATGTAAATTCTTAAACCATTGATTATTAAGACTACAGACATAAAGTACAAAAGTAATGTAAATTCTTAAACCATTGATTGTTAAGACTATAGCCATCAAGTAGACAAGTCATGTTAAGCCTTAAACAATTTATTGTTAAGACTACAGGCATCAAGTACACAAGCCATGTTAAGTCTGAATCCATTGATTGTTAAGCCGACAGCCATCAAGTGCACAAGTCATGTAAAGTCTTAATCCATTGATTGTTAAGACGACAGCCATCAAGTGTTTTAAGACTTTACATTACTTGTGTACTTGATGCCTGTAGTCTTAACAAACAATGGTTTCAGACTTTACATTACTTGGGTACTTGATCTCTGCATGTAGTCTTAGCAATCAATGGTTTAAGACTATAGCCATCAAGTACACTTGATGGCTGTAGTCTTAGCAATCAATGGTTTAAGACTGTACATGACTTGTGTACTCGATGTCTGCATGTAGACTTAACAATCAATGGTTTTAGACTTAACATGACTTGTGTCCTTGATGTCTGCATGTAGTCTTAACAGTCAATGGTTTAAGACTATAGCCATCAAGTACACAAGTCATGTTAAGTCTTAAACCATTTATTGTTAAGACTACAGCCATCAAGTGTGCAAGTCATGTAAAGTCTTAAACCATTGATTGTTAAAACTACATGCAGACATCAAGTACACAAGTAATGTAAAGTCTGAAACCATTGATTGTTAAGACTACAGCCATCATGTTGGTAAAGCACAAAACTTGTAAAGACTAAATCCAATGACTGAACCATCGATTGTGATCCACAGGTCGTGTAAAAAGTAAAGCCATTGATTGTGGATGCAAATTTGTGAAAGTTGAGATATGAAGCGGTATGAATTATTTAACTGATTGACTTTGTTTGGATCCAAACAGAGTTGCTGTTCAAATGCAGTCATGCAACTGTTGTTAAACCTGGCATGTCTAGATGATCTCAGTGTAAATTTATGGTCCATCTAGATAGTTCCTGAATAAATGCTCCTCGGCTAGCCACTCAGTAGACATCTGTCAAAATGTCTCAAGTCTGGAGTCAGGTCCAGAGGAAACTCTGGCTACTCCGCAGCGTGTCTATCACCGCGATACTCTGGTAACACATGCTCCCTCACCTCTCCTAACACGGCTGTAGCTTCTTTATTAACTTCCAGGGGAATATCCTACATTTCTGGAATCTAGGTTACATCTATATATATATACTTTCCAATGACGTTGATCCAGAGTGATAAAAAATGTGAAAACTTGGACGCTGTAACATTTTTACACATAAACAAAATAGGGCTCCTATGAGTGTAAAGTATTTTTATTTTTACTGTGATAAAAACCCATGAAAATGAGATTTCTCTTTTGTGGCCTGGCTCCTTAGTACGATTAAACAAAAAACGTAAGCATGTTCTTTTTCTATTTTGAAATAAAACTGGGTTGTAAGAATATTTTCACAAAACCTGTAACAAAATGTCTGTTACTATATATGTTGTATTCCTTTAGAAAGGAAAACTGCTATAAAGGGGGAAAAATAGTAATTCCTTTTAAACATTCTGATCAGGTTGTTAATGATCTCTTAAATTGACGTACATGTGAAGTTCTGTTATAAACAGCACAGATAAAGTAACATGCAATCACTACAAATGTCGGCCAGTTGAGAGCGTAACCATATCTTAGGTGCAGATATCTGGATGTTTGATAAGCACACTGTTATATGTGGAGTGACATATAACCGCACCTCATGCTTCTGGTGACGAGCAACTTCCGAGCACCTTCCGACAATGCAGCGATGAAGTAATTAAAACCTTTCTTGATGTTGTCATCTGTAATCACTTCAGACTGGATAGATATGTTCATGAACTGCATGCTGTAAAAACAATTGGACCAGAATCGCTTATTACTTGCTTGAATCCAAATTTACGTCATGAATATATGATCTAAAGACCATCAAAGACACTATTAGGACACATTGATTATTTCTCATTCCGTATAGCTATTCTGGCACATTTTCTTAGGAAAACGGCAGATAATGGTTCTCGACTTCCTGATATCTTTCAAAGTTTAAGTGCATTTTCAGGATTGTCTAAGATTCATTTATAAAAAAAGAGTCAGGAAAGATTTTCACTGGCTTGCCATCAGCTTTTGTCTTCTGTTTTTAGCTTTTTGCTTATCTTGAACATTGTTCAATTGATCCCTGTTTTAAATGAGTGATTTTTTTTTCATGCTGCTGTATCTATTGCTTTCAAAAATGATATGCACAGGATCCTATTAACAGCACATATTGATTTCACTTTAAAGCGTCACAGAGATTTAATTTTAATACGAAGGGATGAATAATCGGAGGGATTTTATTGCCTTTGCAGAGAAGGAGGTACCACCTAAACTGTCCCCGCGAGCCAGCTCTGAGGGATCAGGAAGCCTGGAGGATAGTGGTCATGTCAGCGGTACATCCACACAGGATAACACACCTGAACACCGACGTACAGATAGCATACAGAGTCAGATGTCAGTGCCCTCTACGTTGTCAACAGTTACCGACGTCAGTAATGTAAGTGTCATTTAGAAATAACACCAACCTCCACTAGGGAACTGCTTTTGTGTTGCCATAGTTTCCCGACGTTTCAGTGGCTTCCTTTTGTTTATAACCATCTGGGTATAAGGGCTGTGTGAACAATATGGCCTAGTGGTACAGTTTTAGCTTAACTGGTTGGAAAGTTGTGGAAAGGCATTTGTCTGTCTGCAAAAGTTTTCTATATATGGGCATCTGCAAACAAATCCTTGTTTATAGAAACCTATTATGACAACTACTACATAGTGACATGTCTGTAGAGTAACACCCTCCCTATAAAGTCACCTACCTGTCCATTTACTACTACATAGTGACATGTCTGTAGAGTAACACCCTCCCTATAAAGTCACCTACCTGTCCATTTACTACTACATAGTGACATGTCTGTAGAGTAACACCCTCCCTATAAAGTCACCTACCTGTCCATTTACTACTACATAGTGACATGTCTGTAGAGTAACACCCTCCCTATAAAGTCACCTACCTGTCCATTTACTACTACATAGTGACATGTCTGTAGAGTAACACCCTCCCTATAAAGTCACCTACCTGTCCATTTACTACTACATAGTGACATGTCTGTAGAGTAACACCCTCCCTATAAAGTCACCTACCTGTCCATTTACTACTACATAGTGACATGTCTGTAGAGTAACACCCTCCCTATAAAGTCACCTACCTGTCCATTTACTACTACATAGTGACATGTCTGTAGAGTAACACCCTCCCTATAAAGTCACCTACCTGTCCATTTACTACTACATAGTGACATGTCTGTAGAGTAACACCCTCCCTATAAAGTCACCTACCTGTCCATTTACTACTACATAGTGACATGTCTGTAGAGTAACACCCTCCCTATAAAGTCACCTACCTGTCCATTTACTACTACATAGTGACATGTCTGTAGAGTAACACCCTCCCTATAAAGTCACCTACCTGTCCATTTACTACTACATAGTGACATGTCTGTAGAGTAACACCCTCCCTATAAAGTCACCTACCTGTCCATTTACTACTACATAGTGACATGTCTGTAGAGTAACACCCTCCCTATAAAGTCACCTACCTGTCCATTTACTACTACATAGTGACATGTCTGTAGAGTAACACCCTCCCTATAAAGTCACCTACCTGTCCATTTACTACTACATAGTGACATGTCTGTAGAGTAACACCCTCCCTATAAAGTCACCTACCTGTCCATTTACTACTACATAGTGACATGTCTGTAGAGTAACACCCTCCCTATAAAGTCACCTACCTGTCCATTTACTACTACATAGTGACATGTCTGTAGAGTAACACCCTCCCTATAAAGTCACCTACCTGTCCATTTACTACTACATAGTGACATGTCTGTAGAGTAACACCATCCCTATAAAGCCACCTACCTGTCCATTTACTACTACATAGTGACATGTCTGTAGAGTAACGCTCTCCCTATAAAGTCACCTACCTGTCCATTTACTACTACATAGTGACATGTCTGCAGAGTAACACCCTCCCTATAAAGTCACCTACCTGTCCATTTACTATTGCTTTATGTACATATAATACAAACTTATGTTCCTTCATTATGGGTCATCATTTTCAGGAACTCCGTTAGACAAACAAAGATTTCAGTCATGTTGTATCATAGTAGTTTCCTGTCACTGACAGTTTTGTTTAATCAACTCAATATACCGTAACCTGTTTTAAAAGACCACCGGTCAGTAAAGACCATTTGTCTATAAAACTACCTGTCTATATAAAACACCTGTATAAAGACCACCTGTCTATAAAGACCACCTGTCTATAAATACCACCTGTCTATAAACATCACCTGTCTATAAACATCACCTGTGCATCTTTTCTTGGACATTTTTCATACCATTAAAATTGCAGCATTGCATTGGCATGAAAAATTGTTTGCTTTTAAAGGCTACATGATTTTTTCGTTTATAACCTGAGTTCCTTACTAAGTTCAGATAAAGACAGTCTTGAGATGGTAGGACCTATTTAAAGTGCAATCCCACTGAAATGTCCTGATTGGACACGGTAGCGTGATACTCCAACAGTAGCGTGACACTCCACTGGTAGCGTGACATTCCACCCAGTCCGATTACTCTGACAATGGGCTTAATAGAGGTGCATAGATAAAGCGTTCATCATATCAAAGTCGTTTGTAGAGAGGCACAGAACATCAATAGCATCATATTTATTTCAATAGCAGTAATTTGATACCAAAACTAAAAATTGGCTTGTAGCAGGATATGGCATCCATGGCCTAGACTGTCTGACATTCGTTTTGTCTCTTACGAAACTCCCCCTTATCAACATCAATAGGCTGTGTGTTCAACAAGTTTACTCAAATTGACCATAATGTGTCCTAGGGGAGGCTGGTGGTATCTAGGCTGTACATAGCAAGCTGCCACATCACCAGTAAGATACCAGCGACCAATAAAACAAAGCAAATCTGCAGACCTATAACACATAACAAATCATAAAGCAACTAGTTAATTGAAAAATGTCTGATGGACACTGAGTATATTGTAGAGCAGATAAAAATACATGTTTACCCATGGATGTAGACATTACCATGTATACCCTGATAGTCAATGGCTACGAATAGGAAAAAAATACTCACTAAAGTGCTGAATATCTATAGTGTGGTAATGGTAGCCTTAACACTTTTTACCAGTGTTCTATTGTGAGTTCAAAATGTTAGATATCTTGTCTTTGCAACAACAATATCAAAAGAACCATGTATGTTGGTGAATGGTTTGTATGCCCATGAACATTTGCATCTGAAGAAGATTCAGAAAGAAATGATGGGAAAAGTAACATCAGATATTAATAAAATAGGGGTGGGAATAGTTACAGCAGATCTAGGTAAAATAGGGGTGGTAATAGTAACAGCAGATCTAGGTAAAATAGGGGTGGGAATAGTTACAGCAGATCTAGGTAAAATAGGGGTGGGAATAGTTACAGCAGATCTACTAGGTAAAATAGGGGTTAAAAAAGTAACAGCAGATCTAGGTAAAATAGCGGTGGAAATAGTTGCAGCAGATCTAGGTAAAATAGGGGTGGGAATAGTTACAGCAGATCTAGGTAAAATAGGGGTGGGAATAGTTACAGCAGATCTAGGTAAAATAGGGGTTAAAATAGTAACAGCAGATCTAGGTAAAATAGGAGTGGGAATAGTAACAGCAGATCTAGGTAAAATAGGGGTGGTAATAGTAACAGCAGATCTAGGTAAAATAGGGGTGGTAATAGTTACAGCAGATCTAGGTTAATGGATGGGACAGCAGTAGATACAAGCAAGAAAGGATTGGAAGGAAAACAGACATTCTTAGCCTATATAGTTGTAATTTTTCAACTTCTGTCTCATCACAAAAAAAAAGTGCATCCTGATTAAATTTACTCCGATAGATTTGGAGTGGTATTATTGACTCATAGCTATCAGAGAACTATCCCCCTTCCTTTTCCCCAAAAACAGAATGTGAGACTCTTTTCAGCATTTCTTGCTAAAATTGATGACTGCTATATTGAATTCCTCTAGTCATGCCACCCCTATAATCATTAGCAGTAGACTGCAGACATCTAATTTTGATAGATTTAGTAACAGTATGTCAACACCGATGGTAAATTGATGTATAAACTCAAAATATAGGTCAGAAATGATACTGGTAGCTGCCAACAACGATCTGACTATGTTTGTAGGCTGATAACATGTCTGCCTGTTTGTGTGCACCAAACAACAGTCTGACTATGTTTGTGGGTTTATACACAACAAAACAAAGAATTAAAGTTCAAAAATTTATTGAGTCTAAATTTAAAGTAACTTGTTCAGGTTATATTAGTTATCTTTTGGCATTCTTAGGGGCTGCTCTCTGTTACTTAAACTAACTACAACATAGTTGGTTACAAACATATCTATTTACAGCAAAAGGAAATTAAAAACAACACACTTAACTTAAAAGAAGAGTGGGGCGATCCCCGGCTTGAGCGATCTCAAGCTGGTGACTAGAATAAGTTGTGGGGTGATCCCCAGGGCTTGAGCGATCCCAAGCTGTGGAGCGAGTAGCTAACAGGCGGCCCTGCAAACAGGCATCGAGCGACCCCGGTGCCTGAGTGTTCAGAGTATAAGTAAGAAACATGGTTTACAGGGCGATCCCCAACAGGCACTTACACAGTTATACTCTGACTAGCTAAGCACGCCCTAAGTCACCTACCCTAAAACTATGTTAGATTATCAAAAAGCAAACCAGGATTAAGAAATGTACGTGACTTAAAGGGGGTGCTCCCCGGCAGGCACACAAACTGGTTATGATTGCAAAAATAAAAATACAACAACAAGCATATAATGAATTGGGGGTATAATTCCCGAATTACATGTCCATTCCCTTACACTAATAAGAGCAGCCCATTTACAATAGAGAATCTGGTAAGTGAAGAAATACAAAGTAAGCTTGAAACTGTGGAACAAAGTGCTGCGAGCCGGCTGCCCCAACCTGATATGTTTCTTTACAGGGAGGTAGGTTTATCCAATGCTCAGACCAGCCGACCAGGTGTTGTCTCACCCTAAATGGCCTTATCTCTTTCCTGAACAAGTTACATCACAAAAAATAAAAAAAATAAAAATAAAATAAAAATAAAACCACAAAAAACAACAACAACAAAATAAACAACAACACAACACCAGCAACAACAAAATAAATATACATGATACAATAAAAATCAGAGATATAAACATACAGTATTAAAGAAATATTATGATGTACCTATATAAAAAATACATAAATAAATAAAACCTGAACAAGCAAGGTGGTGAAGGGGTGGATGGTGGGGACAAAAACAGACAGTGCTGATACTGAGACTGCTTAAAATGGCTGAAGACAATATCAATAGGGCTATCCCTATAGGCTGAATGACCATTGGTCAACCAGGTCACGTGACAAACTGTACACCTTACCAAATATGGTAGCGTAGATGATAGTAAATATTGTGTACAAACAATTATTTAGGTAAACCCAAATAAACATTTTATACACAACAAAACAAAGAATTAAAGTTCAAAAATTTATTGAGTCTAAATTTAAAGTAACTTGTTCAGGTTATATTAGTTATCTTTTGGCATTCTTAGGGGCTGCTCTCTGTTACTTAAACTAACTACAACATAGTTGGTTACAAACATATCTATTTACAGCAACAGGAAATTAAAAACAACACACTTAACTTAAAAGAAGAGTGGGGCGATCCCCGGCTTGAGCGATCTCAAGCTGGTGACTAGAATAAGTTGTGGGGTGATCCCCAGGGCTTGAGCGATCCCAAGCTGTGGAGCGAGTAGCTAACAGGCGGCCCTGCAAACAGGCATCGAGCGACCCCGGTGCCTGAGTGTTCAGAGTATAAGTAAGAAACATGGTTTACAGGGCGATCCCCAACAGGCACTTACACAGTTATACTCTGACTAGCTAAGCACGCCCTAAGTCACCTACCCTAAAACTATGTTAGATTATCAAAAAGCAAACCAGGATTAAGAAATGTACGTGACTTAAAGGGGGTGCTCCCCGGCAGGCACACAAACTGGTTATGATTGCAAAAATAAAAATACAACAACAAGCATATAATGAATTGGGGGTATAATTCCCGAATTACATGTCCAATCGAACGAAGGTTACAGATACAAATGTAAATGTGAAGTAACAGAGCGAGAGCCCCCAAGAATTGTAAAACAGAAATATTACATAAAAAATGGTTACACATATAAAAATACATACACATGGTAGGTTACATAGATTCCGATATATTCATGTTTTCCTGGGCCTGTTTAATAGTGGAAGGATGGGTGTGTATATAACGAGTGAAACAGTCAGACTTCCATCTACCCAAAACTTGGAGGACATGACCTTCGACCCCTCCTGCTGCCCCTGAGGTGCAGGCACCAATTCTAAAAGAATGGCCACTAAAAAATCTATCTTCATAGCCTAGTCTGCTCAAAGTATCTTTCAGGTAACACAAGAAGGTAGTCCTAGTCAGAGGTCTATAACTGTTTGTGTGCACCAAACAACAGTCTGACAATGTTTGTGGGTTGATAACATGTCTGTCTGTTTGTGTGCACCAAACAACGGTCTGACTATGTTTGTGGGCTGATAACATGTCTGCCTGTTTGTGTGCACCAAACAACGGTCTGACTATGTTTGTGGGCTGATAACACGTCTGTCTGTTTGTGTGTACCAAACAACAGTCTGACTATGTTTGTGGGCTAATAACATGTCTGCCTGTTTGTGTGCACCAAACAACGGTCTGACTATGTTTGTGGGCTGATAACATGTCTGTCTGTTTGTGTGCACACTTTCATCAATACAATTATTAGATTGATATCTCCATATTGTCCCTTGTTGTGACGTACTTTCACAGAGTTTCAGACTTGAAGTTTGTTACAAATCGTATTACATAGAGCATCAGTCGTGATCAGATGTTCTGTATTACTAAGAATGTATATTGATATATATATATAAAATATGTACAAATATGGTTTGGCTGTTTGCCACAGAATCTAATTTGTTTGTAGAATGGATTTGTGACTGTAGGAGATGAGGATCCGTGTACGATGTAAACACATTGAACCTGACATGGAATGTATCATGGTGCATCGGTATTGAAATAAATTGATGAAAACTTCTGTTCCACAGTATCTTTAGCGTGCAGGCCTTTTCAAAATGATCATAGCCGTGTTGTTTCATGATATTGGATGAATGCAACTTGTTATATTATACTTTTAACGTCACATGACAATATGGCCTCATCGTCCTTCTGATCTGTAGCAGGGTTGCTAAACCATCAGGGAGGTTAGAAAGAAGTCCTATGAAATAGGGGTTGTTTTTTTAACATTTAAAGATATATTTACATTAAAAACATTTTATGTAGCACATTAAAATGCTGTAGCAATAACTTTTCAAATGTTTTTAATTGCTTTGAGAATTTGAGATAAGCTGAAGATGAAAAGCTTGAACATAACTCTTCCAGCTTGTAATATTATAATGGTCATAGTGGAGGTTGTAACAAAATACTAGAATAGGCCTGTAAACGTTAGGGACCCTCATCAGTCCCACTGCAGCAGGAAGTGAATTTTAAAAATCGGCACTCTCAATATCCAATTCCATTTATTGGTTCTAACTGGTTGGCTATCAGTATATCACCTCAAGGGGCTAGGTTAAAAAACTTCATGTCTTTGATCGGTATTTTCACATTTGTCTGAACTTTTTTCATTGATTGAAGTTTTTTATCAAGTTGACTGAAATATGATAATTTAGATATATTTGAATTGTACCAAAGGGTTAAATAAAAAACTGTTCTGCAAATAAATGTATTAACTTTGTGCCCTGGTTCAATGTTGTATGTTGTATTAACTTTGGGCCCTGGTTCAATGTTGTATGTTGTATTAAATTTGGGCCCTGTTTCAATGTTGTATGTTGTATTAACTTTGGGCCCTGGTTCAATGTTGTATGTTGTATTAACTTTGTGCCCTGGTTCAATGTTGTATTAACTCTGTGCCCTGTTTCAATGTTGTATGTTGTATTAACTTTGGGCTCTGGTTCAATGTTGTATGTTGTATTAACTTTGTGCCCTGGTTCAATGTTGTATGTTGTATTAACATTAAGTTATAGAATCAAGACTGTAGGAAGTTCAGACTTGAGAGTACTTAATTACATGTTAGGAGACACAAGAAAAAAGATGTCGCTAAATAAATCTCTTGGCACTCGTGGAACTAATTCCAACAACCCTTAAAATTCCTGTTGGTCCATTAAACTTTAAATTTATGTATCAACTGGCTCCTCAGACACATGAGAAATACAATAAACTTGAAATAAAAGAGGAGGCCATAAGGCCTGTATCATTCACCTTTGATTATCAGTTATCCACAGCAAAGTAGACTATAGTAGCCTCCTGGGATTTCTTACCAAGGCAAACAATAAACAATAACAATGCTTGGTTAGAGCAATAAGAGAAATATTTGTAACATTTTGGTCAATGTCAACCTGTTGAAACTTTTATTTGAAAACGTCTCAGAAGATCAAGGCATCTTCGTTGATTTTGAATCAACCTGAAAAACGACCACACTTGTTTAGGACAAAGTTTGTTCATACTTAGTTTGGTTAGAATTGGCAAGGTGCCTTTTGAGAAATTTCAACCAATGAGAGGATTTCCCGGATAGCCCAAGATCGAAATTGTCACATTTACAATTCTAGGACATAATTATGGTTTGTTTATAAACTTTGGAAATATCCGTGGCATCAATCACCATCAGCCATTTGTCTTGTGACAGAAAGAGAGTGTTAATTGCAGTCATTATCTCCTATGATAAATGCTCGCTTGCTACCTAATGGCGTTTGAACTCCTCTACATCCTTCGGGATAATCAATCTTATACAAATAGGTCTTACTTCAGCTGGGTTCCCTGAACTATCTCCTTGTTTTAAAGGCAGATTATCAATCTTGAACCAAATAGGATTTTTATGAAGTGAACTGGTGTGAAATAAAATAGGTATGAACAGGAAACAGCAGATGTCAGTAAGTGATACATTTGTATTCTGATACCTAGGGAGTTGTTGGTAGTTCCTGCTCAGGGACACAGGGCATTGTCCTCTCAGTAACATAACCCCAGATGTAGGGCTTAACCTCAAGGTCTTGTAGATTTTATAAGTTTCATCAGAGTTTATTTCAAAGCAAGGTTATGTAGCAGTCCTCAAGGTCACATGAAAAAGCTAGGTCATCTAGCAAAACATCAAAGTCAAATGAAAGTGAGTTCCTGTAGCAATCCTCAATGAAATAAGGTCATGTGGATTCTGTTAGCTTCAGCAAAGGTCATTATAAAGAGAGGTCATCTAATAAGAATATAAGGGCATAAGAACTTAACAAATATCAGTACATTGTATCACCAAATGGCGAAAAGCAAGGTCATGGGAACTGGCCAATCCCTAAGGTCTTGAAAAAGTACGACAGACAAGACAAAATGTCACAAGAAAACTAGCAATTAAAATCTGATTCATTCAGTGGTGATTGTAGATAAATGAGGGACACTCACCATTGAAGACTTGCTTGTTTTAACTGACTGTTGGTTATGTCACGACAAAGGAGATCCCAAAGCCACCTCTTACCTACCTCATCACCTGACTAACCACTGTTAGGCATTTTCACCTGCAGAATGTTTTGTATTATTTCAGCTATTGAAACCAGTTGTAGTACATAAATTTGAAATAGATTTTAAATCATGCAGTCCTTTATTGTCTAGAAATTAAAGCGCTGTCAGCCAAATTTTCCACTTTTTCATTCCAAAATTGATGCTCAGCAGAATTGAGGTTTAAAATGTTGCTTGAATCCCACTTTACAGTTTGCTTTAACCCTGTATTGCTTGAACCCCATTTTGCTGTCTGCTTTTGTAGAAGGAGGATGACAGTGAGGCTGATATAGACGAACTAGTAGCCAGCCATAAGGCCTCTACCCAGAGTTCCTATGGGAGCAGTCGTGGCAACCTTCTATCCACTGTTGCTGTAAGTAGCATGTGTCTGCTAGAAGGCTCTAGATCCATTTGAAGCATTAAAGTAGATGTTTAGGACAGGAAATATCCATCCCAAGGCACAGCTGATTATGTCATCCAAATCAAACATTCAAGAGACTATATATATAAATGTCTGGTGTCATTTTAAACAAAGCTCATATGGAAAATATCCCTCCCAAGGAAAGTGTATTGTTTGTATGATTAGGTGTCAGTTTTAGCCTCCCTAGTGGGGCAGTGTAGAGCTATTCTATATCTTAGTCGCTTTCATAGAAGCCATTAGGATGAATAACAATTTGTGAAGTAATGAAACTAGGTTCCTGTGACCTACTTACTTGTTAATGATATATGATAACTCTGAATGACACCTCATTGTGTGTTACAGGATAGTCGGGAGAGTATAGCAAGTTTCTATAGCGATGCTGGTGGAGTGAATTATGGGAAGGTTCCTGTAACGGGTGAGGTACAGTTCGGCCTGGACTACAACTATAGGACTGGTTCACTGGAGATAGCCATTCGACAGTGCAAGGACTTGGCACCAGCAGACCCGAAACGCCACCGATCTGACCCGTACGTTTTTATGCTGGCCAGACTGACTGCAGACTGACCAACAGTTATAGTGTTATAAAATACTTTCAGTCATACCTTGTTATTACACTATACTACCCAGTCTATCTTCTTGTTTATTCCTAGCCCAATGGCTGCAATATTTGTTGCTATGTAAATTCATATATTTCGTCCAATAACAGTTACTTATGTTACTTTGTGTACTGATACGAATATCTTGCAGTTGATTACCTTATTTAAAAGCTTTTAACGGTCTCCTCAAAATAACAGGATTTGACTGCTCTCTTTAATGTAAATATTTTCTTTTCATTGTTTCTTCATCTAATGGACCTACCAAATGTAGGTCAAGTATGTGTTGTCAATACAAAGAAGGTGTCATAATTGTAATGTTGGTGATTGTGATGTCATAATTGTAACGTTGGTGATTGTGATGTCATAATTGTAATGTTGGTGATTATGATGTCATAGTTGTAACTTTGGTGATTGTGATGTCATAAGGCGATTGTGATGTCATAATTGTAACCTTGGTGATTGTGATGTTATAAGGTGATTGTGATGTCATAATTATAACATTAGTGATTGTGATGACATAATTGTAACCTTTGGTGATTGTGATGTCATAATCGTAACTTTGTTGATTGTAATGTCATTATTGTAACATTGGTGATTGTGATGTCATAATTGTAACTTTGATGATTGTGATGTCATAATTGTAACTTTGGTGATTGTGATGTCATTATTGTAACATTGGTGATTGTTATGTCATAATTGTAACATTGGTGATTGTGATGTCATAATTGTAACTTTGGTGATTGTGATGTCATTATTGTAACATTGGTGATTGTGATGTCATAGTTGTAACGTTGGTGATTGTTATGTCATAATTGTAAGGTTGGTGATTGTGATGTCATAATTGTAACATTGGTGATTGTGATGTAATAATTGACACTTTTTGGTGATTATTTAAATACATTTGTAATGAGGTTGTTCACCTCATCAAGTTCCACATGGTTCATACTTGTAGCGATTTTGTTTGAGTTATCTGTATTATTCTATCATTCTTTGATTGTAAACACAAGGATTGAACGATCTCTTCACCATTGTATGGGGACATGTGGACTGGCAATGATACTAGTATGAATGTCTGAAATTATCCCAAGAATTCCTAGCTCACCTTTACAGAATTCATGATTGTCATAGGAAAAAAATAGAATTGTCAATCAAGCTTATATGAGAACTGAATTCTTAAGTGATTGTTGGTGTTTAATGCTCCTCAACTCTCAGTCTTTTACACACAAAAAATAAAAATCTGGTAGTTAAGGTGTTTTTCTCAAGCTTCGTGTTTGGCAACTTAAGAATCTCCTCCCTCGGGTTGAGATCCCCCTATCTCACCCTCAAGAGAATGAAAGATTTTATTACTCTATTGTGACCTTCACAAATTTCTGTCTGTATGTATGTGAAGACCTATTAGATTATGTGAGCTTACTTTATGTATGTGTAACCTTAATTAACATATGTGTGAGCTTACTTTATGTATGTGTAACCTTAATTAACATATGTGTAACCTTACTTTACAAATGTCTGTCTGTAGGTATGTGAAGACCTATTTGCTTCCTGATAAAACACGTGGAGGAAAAAGGAAAACCAGAGTTAAGAAAAGTACTCTTTCTCCAATTTTCGATGAAACACTGCGTGTAAGTATTCTCAGATTAATGTTTTGTCCAGAGTAGAATAAATAAAAAAAAAAAACGATTTTAGCAAAACAGAGTTTACATATATACAAATGTCTGGAAAGTAATGACTTCTACTCGCAATTTCTATAATGGAAAAGCAAAACATCTTAAGGAGAGGGTTTTCAGACAGATGAAATATACAATTAAGTTCTGTCTGGGAAATAACAACTGCTACTGAAACTCTACAGCACAAAATCTATACTTAAATGGAAGAAAATAGTTCCAACACGACACATTAACATGCCTGCCTGTCCAAAGCAATGTGTTTTTTGCCTTGCAGTATCTGATCTCTAAGAGCGAGGTGGAGAACAGAATATTGTGGGTCACTGTGTGGCACAATGACAGGTTTGGTCGCAATGACTTCCTTGGTGAAGTATCCATTAACTTCGACTACTTCCGGTTTGGAGACTCGGCGCCCAAATGGTACACCTTACAGGAAAGGGTAAGGAAAGATCCCAGACTTCATTACTTCCCAGCCTCTCTATCACTAATCAGCCTCTCTATCACATATCAACCTCTTTATCACTTTACGACCTCTCTATCACTACTCAGCCTCTCTATCACATATCAACCTCTCTATCACTTTACGTCCTCTCTATCACTACTCAGCCTCACTATCACATATCAACCTCTATATTACTTGACAACCTCTCTATCACGTTACAACCTCTCTATCACTACTCAGCCTCTCTATCACTACTCAGCCTCACTATCACATATCAACCTCTATATTACTTTACAACCTCTATATTACTTTACAACCTCTCTATCACTACTCAGCCCTTCTTTCACTTTACGTCCTCTCTATCACTACTCAGCCTCTCTATCACTACTCAGCCTCACTATCACATATCAACCCTACATCACTTTACAACCTCTCTATAACTTTATGTCCTCTCTATCACTTCTCAGCCTCTCTATCACTACTCAGCCTCACTATCACATATCAACCACTATATCACTTTACAACCTCTCTATCCCTTTACGTCCTCTCTATTACTACTCAGCCTCTCTATCACTTTACGCCCTCTCTATTACTACTCAGCCTCTCTATCCCTACTCAGCCTCTCTATCCCTACTCAGCCTCTCTATCACATATCAACCTCTATATTACTTTACAACCTCTCTATCACTACTCAGCCTCACTATCACATATCAACCTCTATATCACATTACAAACTCTCTTTCACTTTACAACCTCTCTATCACTTTACGTCCTCTCTATCACTACTCAGCCTCTCTATCACTAATCAGCCTCATTATCACATATCAACCTCTTTATCACTTTACAACCTCTCTATCACTTTACGTCCTCTCTATTACTACTCAGCTTCTCTATCACTACTCAGCCTCACTATCACATATCAACTTCTATATCACTTTACAACCTCTCTATCACTACGCAGCCTCTCTATCACTACTCAGCCTCACTCACATATCAACCTCTTTATTACTTTACAACCTCTCTATCACTTTACAACCTCTCTATCACTACTCAGCCTCTCTATCACTTCTCAGCCTCACTATCACATATCAACCTCTATATCACTTTACAACCTCTCTATCACTACTCAGCCTCTCTATCACTTCTCAGCCTCACTATCACATATCAACCTCTATATTACTTTACAACCTCTCTATCACTTTACAACCTCTCTATCACTACTCAGCCTCTTGATAACAACTCTGCCTCACTATCACTATTTGACTTCTAATTCTCTTCTCTGCCTGTCAACCACTAAACAGCCTCTCTATCACTTTTCAGCCTCTCTAAATTTACCGAAAATAAGTGTAAGCGACTTTTAAATCTGTATTTATAAAGGGTATATTCAGGGCTCTTTATGGACATGGGCTTAAAACAACTGTAAGGTGGGTTGTTTGACAAGGTATGATTTGCATATGGACCATCGAGCAACTAGACATCACACAATAGGATATGAACAGTTCGTCGAACAACATAAATATAGCACTGGGTCAGTCATCCATAAAATATTGATGGCAGTAACCCATCTTACACTAAGCAAATGTGATGTAAAGTTACATTTAACAGAAGAAAAAACAATTCTGCAAGGCTAGCTTACAGACTTTCAAGATAATGAAGTCATAATTGATTTGAAAATAGCAGACTGATACAATGAGTTTTTGAGTCCGATTTTTTTTTTTTTTTTTTATTACCTGGGGCAGAATATCCCTGGTCCTATTGGGAAGTAATAGATATCATGAAGGCAAAGGGGAATTTTGTATGCGTTTGTATATTTCGTATTCTTTTGTATATTTTGTATATATTTTGTATGCGTTTCTATATTTTGTATACGTTTGTATATTTTGTATACATTTGTATATTTTGTATGCATTTGTATGGTAGCAGAATACAGTGGAAATGGCCCGACTCTGATAACAAGGCACATGTCGAGGAAATGTAAACACAGCGGATTTACCCTACACAACACATGTATACATGTATATATATTTGTAAACTGCATTACATTTACAATACATATAAAGTACTGAGAAGTGTATAAACCTCTATGTATGTCACTTGTGTGAAAACCATTGTTACCACGTCAAAAATTACCAAAAAATGCCAAAAATTGCTATTTTTGACTCAAAATTTGATCCCCGCAACTAGTATTTTTTTTCCTAAGTTCTGTCTGAAATTGAAGATTACCTACCTGGTTGCAGAATTATCTGGGTCCTAGTAAAGTTGTAAAACTTGATTTTTTGTAATTTTGCGTCGTGTGCTGTTGTCAAATTTACCTCCTGTATAACTAGCTTTTCATGTGTTAAGGCACCCTTTCAGATTATGGCCAAAATTTTATTCTCGAACCAAAAAAATCTTCTTTTTTTTAAAAATGTGAAGCTAACTTAGCACACTTCATCATGCTTATATCAATTTTAGTACAGTTTTATTTTTATATTTTTTTTACATATCATTATACAGGGGTTAGCCATTTAACAAAAATATCACCCATGGCCACAACCCTCTACTGTACACTGCTACCTTATACATCACTTTCTTTTTCCCAAAATTTAATTAAAACCTTTTAATGTCTTGAAAATGAGACAATGAACACAACGATGTATCCGTTTCTTTTCTCACTTTAATAGTGACTGAGTAATAAGAATTCTCCTGACAGGTTTATTTACCAATTCTGCTCTCAAACTACCAACAAAGGGAGGTAATCTGAAAAATGGAAACTTGAATAGGTTTGTAGTGGCCGCAACTCTCTACTGTATATTGCTACCTATATTTTGTATGCATTATCTGACATAGTTTAGGAATATATCTTTGTTATTTTGGCTAATGTCCAAGCGTAGAATGTCTGTAGGTGTGAAGATTGATTGGTGCACAATGCATTCATGTTTGTCCTGATGACTGTATATGTGTACAGGTACTAGAGTGAGATTAGTTGGGGGGGGGGGGGGATAATCATGACTGCTGTCATGGAACTGTAAAGTTGAACATTTCATGTTGATTGACAGTTGTCTCCATTAATTTTTGCTAAATTGCTTTAAAAGTTGCAAGTTCTGCAGTTTTTGGTATAGAGGAGACAGTTGGCACACTTTGAAGACCCCATATTGACTAGCTTGGGTTGTAATTTCTGAAAATATGAGGTACAACAAAGGGAATTGTGCGTGTTTTGGTGTTGTGTTTATAAGGAACTATCTCATTGGTCAGCTTACAGTTAGTCCAAAACAGTTCTATTCAGATCAAGGTCAGCTCCATTGCTGTATTTATGTAAGGCACTTTTAAAATCAGAGGTATAAGTGAAGTTTGGGCTATTTTAGTAATTTTAAGAGAAAGTAAGTCTGAGGTCCTCTGTCCTGGTTCAGGTCTGGAGGCTGACATAAAGATGGCCTCTTTAACCCCTTGCTGAAACCAGTGCGACTCCTAGTACAGTACTCTGATATAAGCTGTGCTGAGTGAATGGGAATGGTCCCTTATATGTGATCCCTCGGGACACAGGTGTTCTTACATATTTTCTGAGTGAGTGTTTAGTCTCTACCAGATAAGGGATTGGACAGGACACATATGATTTTGCAGTCCAGTAGATTAATTTGTTCATGAAAAAACTGCAATGAAGCAAAGTAATAAGCCTCATTCCTTTACCACCAGGTGGAGACACAAACTACATCACTGCTGACTTACCAGGGTGACCTTATCCTGTCACTAAGACTGGTATCTAAGGACAATGTCAAAGAAATCCTCACCTCTCCCACCAAGACCAAGAGGAAGAAGACGCGGCCTGATGGGCTGGCAGGGTGTCAGCTACAGGTCCTACTTAAAGAAGCAAGAAACCTCACCGCAGTCCGCTCAAACGGATTCTCCGACCCATTCTGTAAAGCGTGAGTCTTCCATATATATATATCAAGCTTAAATCATCTTGTTTTAACATACACATTATGTACATTGAATAGTGGAACCTTAATAATCTGGACAATTTGGTTTGCGTATTCTGTAAAACTTTGCTATTCTGGACATTTTAGTTAGTGTGTCTTATTTGAATCTTGCTCTTCTGAACAGTTTGGTTACTGTGTACTATAGAACCTTTTTTAAAGTCAGGGAAATATTTGTTCTGTGTACAGTGGAACCTTCTTAGTCTGGAAAATTTGGGATTGGGATCACAGTAAATCGGAACCATATTAATTCAAACTGCATAAAAGGCTTGCTTTTCATTCTGTCTGACTCAAAACATCAAATAGTATTTCCTTGTTTACACTGAAAATATAATTGTGTGTTCTGTTACTAGGTTATTTGAAATACTCTGTAGCAAGCCTTGTTGGTTATCTCCTTACAGGTACCTGTTACCAGACAAGAACAAGGGGTTGAAGCAGAAAACGCCTGTGATAAAGCGAGACTGCAACCCTCAGTGGAACTACACATTTATATTTGATGACGTTAGCCCCGAGGAGCTGAAGGAGCGTGCTTTGGAACTAACTATCTGGGACCATGACAAAATCTCCAGCAACGACTTCTTGGGGGGAGTCAGACTCAACCTTGGGCTGGGTATGTTATTGTTTCATTAAGAGTTGGCAAGTATGGTACACAAATATTGGTGTTTGTTTTTCTATTTTAGATAAACTGACTCCACCAGGTATTGATAAACTTTGTTACAAATTTACAGATATACCTTGATATAAACACAATAGGGATAAATTTATTGGTCAAATTAAGCAGGTTTTTCAGAATACATCGGTTCATTTTATAAATAAATATATACAAAGGGTCCTTACTTAATGTCTGGTTTACACAGGCTTCTGGGATCATACAATGTTAGGATTTATACAGCTAACCAGACAGGAAGATTTTAAAAAATTCATCACTAAAAGCTGTAAACTGGAAATTTTCTTGCAATTTTTGTAGTCTTTTGAAATTTCGATTTTTTTGGCTATTTTGAAAGAACCTTTAATCGAACCAAATTTATTTGCTTTATTTCCAGGACGATGTTACGGTAAAATTGTTGACTGGAATGATGCTAAAGGTGAAGAAATTTCAATATGGCAAGCAATGTTAGATCGACCCGATTCTTGGATTGATGGTACCTTGATCCTGCGACCAAATATGGACAAAAGACGATATTAGATCACCCAAGTACAGATTTGTTGCATTAAGATCAGTCGATATGGAAAGGACTTGCCTTGCCTTGAGAATGTGATTACTAGTATTGGTTAGTGACACTGTTGATATATGAAGAATGGACCAATTTGGGATCATACATAGAGTGAAAACAATACAAGATATCAAATAGACTGACAGTTAAATGGTAGGGATACATGTGGTAAGCATACTTACCTGTCAGTAGAATGGCAATTAACCAAATATGGAATCTCAGTTGGAGCAGACAGTGATAAATTTTATGCATTTACATGTTTCACCAAATATGGGCATAAAAATATTATTCTTAAAGCGATCAAATGTATAGCATATTGTTCTGACCAAACATGGACAAATCGTAAAAAATTAGAAACAGGCAGTGATCGCATAATTTCATTTAAAAAATGATGTAGGTGTGGTAAGCATGTTCACATTAGTGGTAAGCATACTTACACTTGGTAAGCATGTTCACAGTGGTAAGCATACTTACACTTGTGGTAAGCATGTTCACATTAGTGATAAGCCTACTTACACTTGTGGTAAGCCTACTTACACTTGTGGTAAGCATGTTCACATAAATTGTAAGCATACTTTCACTTGTGGTAAGCATGTTCACATTAGTGGTAAGCCTACTTACCCTCGTGGTAAGCATTTTCACATAAGTTGTAAGCATACTTACACTTGTGGTAAGCCTACTTACACTTGTGGTAAGCATGTTCACATAAGTTGTAAGCATACTTACACTTGTGGTAAGCATGTTCACATTAGTGGTAAGCCTACTTTCACTTGTGGTAAGCATGTTCACATTAGTGGTAAGCCTACTCACACTTGTGGTAAGCATGTTCACATTAGTGGTAAGCCTACTTACACTTGTAGTAAGCCTACTTACCTTTTGTGGTAAGCATGTTCACATTAGTGGTAAGCCTACTTACACTTGTAGTAAGCCTACTTACCTTTTGTGGTAAGCATGTTCACATTAGTGGTAAGCATATTTACACTTGTGGTAAGCATGTTCACATTAGTGGTAAGCATACTTACACTTGTGGTGAGCATGTTCACATAAATGGTAAGCATACTTACACTCGTGGTGAGCATGTTCACATAAATGGTAAGCATACTTACACTCGTTGTTAGCGTACTCACATTAGTGGTAAGTAAACAAATATTTGTAGCTTTAAGACATTTTCTACAGTGCCTGAAAAACAATCTATTTACGACACTCAACTATAGGTGCCTCATCTTCATACATGTACAAATAAACTTCATCTTCAAACATGTACTGCAATTGCACATCATACATGTATGGTAAATTTGACCTCATACATGTTTAAAAAACTGAACCTCATGCAAATATGTGAAGATCATCATCATGGTACAACAACTGATCTCAAAATGTCAATAGCACAATATTAATTCTTGTCTTTTGTTTATGAAATCTCTGTAGAACTCTCAGTTATGTGTGTGAAGTTGTGTGTTACATTAACTATAAGTGGATTATGAAGGTTCAGCTCTGTGTTTTTTCTATACAAGTTTAGCAAGCCATTAATGCTCATTAGTTCTTTGGGATACACATTTAGCTTGAGTTCTGTAGTTCTCTGGGACAAACGTTTAGCTAAATGTTATTCGGGACAAAGGTTTAGCTGAAAGTTCTGTAGTTTTTCGGGACAAAGGTTGAGCTGATTGCTCTGACACCTGCAATCAAACAGTGGAATCTAATTAGCTAGGGTTCTGTAGTTCTCTGGGACAAACGTTTAGTTAGGGTTCTGTAGTTCTCTGGGACAAATGTTTAGCTAGGGTTCTGTAGTTCTCTGGGACAAAGGTTCAGCTGAAAGTTCCTTTGCTATTCGGGACAAACATTTAGCTAGAGTTCTGTAGTTCTCTGGGACAAATGTTTAGCTAGGGTTCTGTAGTTCTCTGGGACAAACGTTTAGTTAGGGTTCTGTAGTTCTCTGGGACAAACGTTTAGTTAGGGTTCTGTAGTTCTCTGGGACAAATGTTTAGTTAGGGTTCTGTAGTTCTCTGGGACAAAGGATTAGCTGAAAGTTCTGTAGTTCCCTGGGACAAAGGTTTAGCTGAAGGGACAAACGTTTAGCTCAAAGTTCTGTAGTTCTCTGGGACAAACGTTTAGTTAGGGTTCTGTAGTTCTCTGGGACAAAGGATTAGCTGAAAGTTCTGTAGTTCCCTGGGACAAAGGTTTAGCTGAAGGGACAAACGTTTAGCTCAAAGTTCTGTAGTTCTCTGGGACAAAGGTTCAGCTGAAAGTTCCTTTGCTATTCGGGAAAAACATTTAGCTAGAGTTCTGTAGTTCTCTGGGACAAATGTTTAGCTAGGGTTCTGTAGTTCTCTGGGACAAATGTTTAGTTAGGGTTCTGTAGTTCTCTGGGACAAATGTTTAGCTAGGGTTCTGTAGTTCTCTGGGACAAATGTTTAGTTAGGGTTCTGTAGTTCTCTGGGACAAACGTTTAGCTAAATGTTATTCGGGACAAAGGTTTAGCTGAAAGTTCCTTTGTTATTTGGGACAAACGTTTAGCTAGAATTCTGTAGTTCTTTGGGACCAACGTTTAGCTGAAAATTCTGTAGTTCTCTGGGACAAAGGTTCAGCTGAAAGTTCCTTTGCTATTCGGGAAAAACATTTAGCTAGAGTTCTGTAGTGCTTTGGGACAAAGGTTTAGCTAGAGTTCTGTAGTTCTCTGGGACTAAGGTTTAGCTAGAGTTCTGTAGTTCTCTGGGACAAAAGTTTAGCTAGGGTTCTGTAGTTCTCTGGGACAAAGGATTAGCTGAAAGTTCTGTAGTTCCCTGGGACAAAGGTTTAGCTGAAGGGACAAACGTTTAGCTCAAAGTTCTGTAGTTCTCTGGGACAAACGTTTAGTTAGGGTTCTGTAGTTCTCTGGGACAAACGTTTAGTTAGGGTTCTGTAGTTCTCTGGGACAAAGGTTTAGCCGAAAGTTCTGTAGTTCTCCGGGACAAAGGTTTAGCTGACAATTCCTTTGTTATTCGGGACAAACATTTAGCTAGATTTCTGTATTTCTCTTGGACAAACGTTTAGCTTGAGTTCTGTAGTTCTCTGGGACAAACGTTTAGCTAGGGTTCTGTAGTTCTCTGGGACAAAGGTTTAGCTGAAAGTTCTGTAGTTCCCTGGGACAAAGGTTTAGCTAAAAATTCTGTAGTTCTCTGGGACAAACGTTTAGCTGAAAGTTCCTTTGTTATTTGGGACAAACGTTTAGCTAGAATTCTGTAGTTCTCTGGGACAAAGGTTTAGCTGAAAATTCTGTAGTTCTCTGGGACAAAGGTTTAGCTGACAGTTCTGTAGTTCTCTGGGACAAACGTTTAGCTGAAAGTTCTGTAGTTCTCTGGGACAAAGGTTTAGCTAGAGTTCTGTAGTTCTCTGGGACAAAGGTTTAGCTGACAGTTCTGTAGTTCTCTGGGACAAACGTTTAGCTGAAAGTTCTGTAGTTCTCTGGGACAAAGGTTTAGCTGAATGTTCTGTAGTTCTCTGGGACAAAGGTTTAGCTGAAAGTTCCTTTGTTATTCGGGACAAACATTTAGCTAGATTTCTGTATTTCTTTGGGACAAACATTTAGCTAGAGTTCTGTAGTTCTCTGGGACAAACGTTTAGCTAGGGTTCTGTAGTTCTCTGGGACAAACGTTTAGCTGAAAGTTCTGTAGTTCTCTGGGACAAAGGTTTAGCTGAAAGTTCTGTAGTTCCCTGGGACAAAGGTTTAGCTGAAAGTTCCTTTGTTATTCGGGACAAAAGTTTAGCTAGAGTTCTGTAGTTCTCTGGGACAAAGGTTTAGCTGAAAGTTCTGTATTTCTCTGGGACAAAGGTTTAGCTGAAAGTTCTGTAGTTCTCTGGGACAAAGGTTTAGCTGAAAATTCTGTAGTTCTCTGGGACAAAGGTTTACCTGAAAGTTCCGTAGTTCTCTGGGACAAAGGTTTAGCTGAAAGTTCTGTAGTTCTCTTGGACAAACGTTTAGCTAGAGTTCTGTAGTTCTCTGGGACAAAGGGTTAGCTGAAAATTCTGTAGTTCTCTGGGACAAAGGTTTACCTGAAAGTTTCGTAGTTCTCTGGGACAAAGGTTTAGCTGAAAATTCTGTAGTTCTCTGGGACAAAGGTTTAGCTGAAAGTTCTGTAGTTTTTCGGGACAAAGGTTGAGCTAGAGTTCTGTAGTTCTCTGGGACAAACGTTTAGCTAGAGTTCTGTAGTTCTCTGGGACAAACGTTTAGCTGAAAATTCTGTAGTTCTCTGGGACAAAGGTTTACCTGAAAGTTTCGTAGTTCTCTGGGACAAAGGTTTAGCTGAAAGTTCTGTAGTTCTCTTGGACAAACGTTTAGCTAGAGTTCTGTAGTTCTCTGGGACAAAGGTTTAGCTGAAAGTTCTGTAGTTTTTCGGGACAAAGGTTGAGCTGATTGCTCTGACACCTGCAATCAAACAGTGGAATCTAATTTAACAATGTGGTTTCATCATATTTAAATCACTCGTTATCACAGGGCATTGACATGTATGCTGAATCAAAGTATATAACACATGATACAGGAAAAAAACGAGCCCAGATTAATCTGTGTTAGGATTTGTTAAAGACGTGTATCCATTTTAGTTTTTTTCAGTTTGGTCATCAACTGAATTCATCTATGTGATTGCTGGATAAAGTACAATAGGTTATAGATAATTGGATGACAACTGTAAAACCCTAGTAGAACACACAGCAGCTAACATGATATCCTTTGATCTTGGAACTGGATTATGTTGGATTTTTTTCAGATATATTTTGAATTCATTTGACTATACATCATCAATGTTGTTGTCTCCAATCTGGTTTCCCAATTAGCCATCTTTGTTGGCAAATTATCATGCTTTTGCCTCATAATGGCACTGATTTGTCCATGTAAGTGGCACTTTATTGTGCAAGTTTCCACATGAAAAAGTTTTGTTTTGGAATTTAACACTCCTCTTCTGAATAAATTACAAGTTTGCAAGAAGATGCAATTGGGAGGAAAAACATCCTGTTATGATCCATCATGATGCTTTGTAAATGAGGAGGACAATATGCTTGGTGAAAGGGGTAACTCAAAAAACATGACAGTAGTAGTGTAGGAAGAATGGGTTGTCTCCCCTACATTAATTTATTAATACTGAAATATTTATTTTTGTATCCATTAATAGTTGCATTCCTGTACAATTGATGGTGAATAATCAAAGTATACCAAAGCAGTGTAATAAATAACTAGATATTGTTTATGTTCTTCATAAATATGTGTGGGAGTTTTGTAGTAAAAATTGAAACAATTACTTTTACCCTGGCAGGGTGGGCGGGTAAGTTGTGTTAGATATTTCACAACAATGTAAGGAAAATAATGTAAAAAAATGACATTCTCTGGAATAACAAGCATTAGTAATAACATTAAAAGTTATGCTGATGGAGTTGATCAGTATAAAAAAGTTTGACTCTGATTTTATATGCAGTAGTTGACTTAATGTAACATGATATTAGTAGTGGTTACTGACAATGGTTGTTTCTCTCATAAAAGTTGAATGACCTGTATTCTATTTATTAATCAGATGTAAACAGAATGTGTAGCTTCCTCTATGCTGTATTCCATGTATTATGGTGCTGTTTTTCTCCTTGGCTAAACAATTTTAATTGTTGATGTTGAATCTCAATTTAAATGTATGATCACATTTCTTTACAATCTGCATAATGAGGAGGCAGTGTAATATGAGAGAATTTGGAGTATTTCTACATTTATTATTCGAACTCTATCTTCAACGTCAGTTAGCTAAACTTTACAACAGTACTGAGGGTAATTTAAATGTAAGCACTTTGGTAAATAATTGTTCAAGTCACGGACTTAGATCTAATATAATTACGTGGTTCAAGTGAAAGAAAATGTTGAGACAGGAATTTTCTCACCTGGATTTGAACAACAGTGATACAATTACTTGAATTTCCATTGGAAAAATAATAAAGTATACAGTTGAACCAAATGTGTTCCCAGCAAATGGTGCTGGATGAGAGGGCTGCTGGATTAATGGGACAACATTGTATAGAAAAGGGGAGCATGTCCCTTAAGACTGTGGCTGTTATTACAATATAATGGTTTGGCCAATTTTACTTTGAAAGTGGATACTGATGGTTTATTCACACAGGGTAATTAAGCACTAGGTGTGTCAGTGTGTGAAGGACCTGGAAGGCTCAGATTTATGGTGGGAGAGTGGACATCTTATCAATATTGAGTGACCGCCATTGGTGGAATTAATTGGACTGATCTATTAGAGAGGAAATAAAATTATCATAACTTGTACAATATAAGTTGCATAGAGTTACTTCCCATGGTTGAAATTTTCGATATTTAGGAAAACATTTTCAACTTCATAATGAGTCTGTTGGATAAACCTGCATGATTAAACGTACACTTGTACAAATGATGTTTTCAGTACTAGTACATTATGTATTATAGAAAAGTATTCATAACTGTAAATTGTAAAATAGTTCAGTCCAAACCGGACATCCTTGTGATCACATATTTTGGCCAGGTTGCCATGTTCCAAAGTGTAGATAGTCAAATTTTTATATATTGTCACTGTCAAAACCAAATCCTTTGGTGAGTTTAGACAAAACATTGAATTGGACAGAGTCCAGTTTAGGCAGAGTATACCATAATTTAA